TGGGCTAGAATAGATACTCCAGTCAGGGCTCGCGATCCATTGCAACTCTATGGACAGGGAAAACTAGCCTCAAGGCCACGCGTGACGCGGCGGCTTTTGATGTACACGATCGATCGATCGCGTACTATATATGCGGCCTGCGTAGCACGCGCGGCATACACAACCACACACACTTGCAGCGTCAAATAAACGCAGACACTGGCCAACGTCTGACAATCTCAAACAGTGAACTAAGCCGTGTCTATATTGTAAAGCAAACTATATTACAATGGTATTAAATGAAGGTACTGTTAGTAGGCTGTTGGACTGTAAAATGAAAATTTGTACATTCTAACCCCCCTCAAATTTTCTCTCAACGGATTTAGACGTTTCACAAAATCGACCCTGGGACTGTGAAATCTGCGGATCCGCGGAAGATTCTCATCCCTTTAAATGGAGCGCTATTTCAACATAATACACAGACTTTTGGTGCGCGATTTCAACCACTTTTATGAGGCGCGATGATGCGCGCACCATGGCACAATTTATGGTGCGCGGTGGAGCGCGAGCGCGATCGCGCCCCTTAAAAATGAAAGCCTGATGCGTTGAGGGAGTTCATGCAGATCTAGATGTTTTGGATACCACGTCTACGTTGAGGAACGAGTCGTATTATGCGCTCCCTTTTACAAGTCTGTATTTTTTTCGCTGCTGTCCCGCGATTATCTAGTCGCCCCGCCGGACCAGCTGACACGAGCAAGCAGTCGTCCGGTCGATTTTCTAATCGCCACTGGCGACTGGGCGACCGCTAGTTTCTTACGCTGGTGAATATTGTGGATGCGAGGTGCCGTGAGGCCTGTGGGAGGGGAAGTTTACGAGCCAATACCGGTATCTCAGCTATCTCAGCCTAGGAGTATCGTATTGACTAGCTCTAGAGTACTATAGTCTATAGCCCGCTTACATTAACTGCCGCTGGCGTTAACCGCTGGCGCTCCCAGCGGCAGTTAATGTAAGCGGCCTATAGTACTAGAGCTACGTATTGACAAGCGGTTGGTCTTGTTTTAGAGAGCAAAGAATTCTGCTTAATGCAATACCATAAAATTATTCCAGACTCGCAGGCAAAGTAGAATAATGTTGTCGTGAAATAGCACTATTTTCCCGTTTTTCCGTTGTACACTCTAGGTATTATTAGCTCTTGATGTTATTAATGACTTATAAATATAACTTATAGTTATACTTTATAGTTTAAATATATAGTTATATTATTAATAACGACGTGGATATTCGTCCGAGCATTGGACACCTGTTCGTATGCGCTATTCGTCCAAGCAGTTATTGCGCATGCGCTGTTGCATGCCGCAGGCGCACGGCACGAATGCCGTAGGTCGGAAGTGTGAAGGGGGGGTCAGGGGGGGTCTCCCCCCAGACAATTTTCAAATTTAGACGCTCTAAAATGCTATTTACCCTTTAGATTTTTATGATTATTTTATGCCCTTTAGGCTGGGGCCCGTAGCGTTTTGCTACGGCAGCCCTACGGCTGTGACGCCCCTGCATACATGCGTTGCGTATGTGGTTATACACCATAGATAGTGTTTGGTACTACCACTAGCCTATATATATACGAAACCGAGTGTATAAGAAGAGAACCTAGTCGGTTTATAGTTAGTGTTAGGGTTAGGGCTGGGGTTAGGATTAGGATTAAGATTAATCATTAGGGTTAGGGAGTAGGCGCCTCCCTAGACCGAATAATTCTGTCCATATAACCTTTTTATATTTTGGTGAGGGTTATATTGGGACAGAACGGGGTTCATTGAAATTTCGTGAGATCGCATGCAAAATGCATGCGCTGAGAATGCGGCCCGAACGCCGCTATTGGCGCGAAAAAAAACATACCGTTCCCTTCTACATGGCTTTACCTTGCTACTGATGTGTGTATACATTCACTTCAATCGTTATTCACTTCTTAAAAGATTGTTTTTCATAAACACCGCTTCATTTAACTTTAGTAAATTACGTTCGCCATTTACAAACAATCAGACCAATCAGGAGTGAGGCTTAAATAGCCCCTGGTTCTCGCTTGTATCTATGGCTGCAGGAGCTGATAGGACTCACTCTGATTGGTCTGATTGTTTGTAAATGGCGAACGTAATTTTTTACTGAGTTAAATGAAGCGGGGTTTCTGAAAAACAATCTTTTAGAAGTGAATAACGATTGAAGTGAATGTATACACATATCAGTAGCAAGGTAAAGCCAATGTAGAAGGGAACGGTAGGTTTTTTTTCGCGCCAATAGCGGCGTACCGGCCCCATTCGCAGCGCATGCATTTTGCATGCCGATCTCACGAAATTCAATGAAACCCCGTTCTGTCCCAATAACCATCACCAAAATATAAAAAAGGTTATATGGGACAGAATTATTCGGTCTAGCGCCTCCCTAGACTAGCATTAATTGTTGGGTTGGGCCATTATATTATTACATTTATGTAATACACATGAACAGCGCATGCGCAACAACTGCTCGGACGAATAGCGCATACGAACAGGTGTCCGATGCCCGGACGAATATCCACGTCCTATTATTATTAATAATTTTATTAATTATAAATTTATATTATTAATATTATTAATATTAATCATGCTTGGCCGACTGTTTCAATTCAATTGACTTGTTTGTTGAAGTTGTACCAAGGTTTGTGTGCACAAAACATGGATTTTGTACGGCATACAGTGCCCGCAATATTTATTCTACATGTCTTGGATGTGTTTTGAAATTAACATTTACCCTTGTGTTATAACCGGTAAATAACACTTGATATTCCTTCCAAGCAGTGCTCTGGTTAGCGCCATTTCCGAATGTCCCTTATGTTTGGTTTAAGCTTTCCTGTTATAACCGGAGTGCTGGAGCAGTTGACCGATCGTGGATTCGTGGCACTGATCTCTATAATATTAATCTATTATATTATTTATATATATCTATTATCATATATATATTCTATTATAATATATCGATCTATATAGATATTAGAATATCTATTATAATATATTATATTATTAGATTATATTATAGAGATCAGTGATTCGTGGGCCGATGTTCACTTGTCTTTATGTTATCGAGATTCGAGAAGACTCATGTTATTGAGAAGACTCGTATCCCCGTCTGTGTGTACGGTACCTTCCTTACGGCCTACCTACTTCCTGTACGGGCAGCTTCCTTAGTAAATTCTGTATTTATAAAAGATGTTTTGGCGATGTTTTACATAGAAAAAGTAACAATTTGCTCGTGCAACAAGAGCTAAAAGATGACAGCAATTGAATAACGAATTTCACATTGCGCATTGCGCAAGTCGCATTGCGTTTTTGCACATAATGCGTACGAGCATTGCTCCCCTGGCTTTGCCATTTGCCGTTGACTTGTAAGTTGTAATACTATTAGTATTACAAATAGTAATAGTGTTAGTAATACTGTAAAAGTTGTATATATAATATTAATATAGTCTAGCTGTAGCTTGTAAGTTTGTTTTGATTGGCAACAAGGAGTGATGAAGGTGTGCACATGCAGTGGCAGTGCTAGAACGTGTGGCCCCATGATAGGGTAGGCCTAAATACACAGGCACTTGGAGCGTTTCAATAAAATATAATGCTAAATTAAATAAATACGAAATCTATTTACTACCAAAGTCTTAATGTTTCTTTACTCTCTTTCACCTATATATGCCGACAATTTCCTGTAAATGCCGTCCAAATGCTCATCTGCAACACAATGTCACACGCTGGCCGCCGCACGCTAGCTGCTGCACACTGACACATAAATATATAGCAGGTAGGAAAGCGTGCTGCCAAAATTCGCTCGTCGCTTGCTTGATTTCATACTAATACATAACCTGTATGATGCAGGCGGTATGTTCCGCTTGACTACACTAACCGCCTGTACGCGAGCTCAACCCTGGCGGTTCGCAACCCTCGTTATCGATCGACCGGTTGTTATGGCGGGGAATCTGCTGTTAGCCGGCGAGCAATCGAGCGTACAGAAGTAAATACGGCAAAACTTCGCCCCAGGCGAATACCTGAGTCATGAATGGAAACAATCTAGTTAATGGCTTTGGCAGAAGCGTGCACTAATTGCAGTTATAAATTCAACTTGAATAACTTGATAATGACCTCAGGCAAAAGCCGCTCGCTGATTGGCTGATTGGCCCGTTACAGCTCTCTGATTGGGCGCGATGATTTCTTCGTTCGCGAAGCGGGCTGAATAAACAAGGGGTACAGGCGGTTAGTGTAGTGAAGCGGAACATACCGCCTGTATCATACAGCTAGGTTAACGAATACAACACAAATATTCAACCATTCTACTCCATCTTTGTTTCTATTTGAAGAACAGTGTTCACTTGTTATAAAAACATACTGTCTGCATTTGTTCGTAACCGAGCTGTTTCACACGAAATCACACAAAGCCTGATGAAATTCTCGTGTTCGCTCCCGTGTGGCGCAGTTTATGTATATGGCTGACAATTAGTAACATCACTGGAGGCTTGTGTGGTCGGATGGGCTTGCGCACTGGGGAGTGGTATTAGGAGAAACTAAACCACGCGTGTGTTCCAACTCCCCTGTAGGACAAACAAGGACCCGCCATCCCCCGCTCAAAAAGACGCCAGTTGAGCGTTGCAAAAACGTTGCAGCGCAAAAATGAGGTCACGAAGAGCGCCGGTGGGCGTTTCCTGATTCTGACAGCCATTTACATAAACTGCGCAACGGGAGCGAACGCGAGAATTTCGCCAGGCTTTGTGTGATTTCGCGTGACACAGCTCGGTTACGAACACAGACAGTATGTTTTTATAACAAGTGAATACTGTTCTTCAAATTTTTGTGGTTGAATATTTGCATTGTATTCGTATGAAATCAAGCGAGCGTCGAGCGAATGTTTTTACAACAAGTGAACACTGTTCTTCAAATTTATTAATGTTGAATATTTGCATTGTATTCGTATGAAATCAAGTGAGCGTCGAGCGAATTTTTGCAGCACGCTTTCCTACCTGCTATATATTTATTTGTCAGTGTGCAGCAGCTAGCGTGCGGCATACTTGTGTGTTGCAGATGAGCATTTGACCGGCATTTACATGGGATTATAGGCGAAATAGAGTAGAGAAACATTAAGACTGGTAGTAAATACATTTCCTGTTTATTTATCTTTTTTTTTTATTGAGGCGTTCCAAGTGCCTGTTGCTAAATATAGTATGATGATGTCAAAACACCGGTCTACGGTCAACTCGGCCCACCAGCAAACTCACACCGTGTGGTGAGTTCACCCGTCTGGAGATCGGTGAGCTCGGCTCGTGGGATGAGTTCACCCTCCTGGAGATCGCGAACGATTTGAGTTACATTTCTAAAATTCTAGATACGTATAAACAGATGTCTTGCCTATGCTTTCTGTGAATTTTGAGTTTATTGAAGCACGAATAGTTTAATTCAATACCAAAAATATACGCGCGGTATCGTCATAGGCTAATATATACGCACGGCTATGCGCAGTAGGAAAGTGTACTAACTCTAATATCTCGCGAACGATTTGAGTTACATTTCTACAATTCTAGATACATATAAACACATGTCTTAGATATGGTTTCTGTAAATTTTGAGTATATTGAAGCACGAATAGTTTAATTAATTACCAAAAATATCGTCGAATAGGCTATTTCTATATATCGCTATACATTTCCCAGCTAGATTAGGATGATAGGAGAAATTTCCCAGCTAGTTTAGACTGGTAGCAGAAATTTCCCAGCTAGTGTATACATTATCCAGCTAGTTTAGACTTGTAGCAGAAATTTCCCAGCTAGTGTATACATTATCCAGCTAGTTTAGACTAGTAGGGCTGATAGGGTCTATGTCCCCCAGGGTACTATCGGAAGGTACCCTGGGTACGGTTCGATATATCGATACCTCGAGGTACTATACAATATGTCGCGGCGTACCCTGCATTGTCCCACCATACCCTGACTTCATGCTCCCGTTCCTTGTTTCCGGTCCGTTCCTGCAAAAAATTTGTTTCAGTATTCGCATTTCTTCTGGAAATTGTATGTATCACCATGTAATTATGCAACATCAGGGGTCGAAATAAGGGATGGTCCGATGGTCCGGGGCCATCAAATAATCAGGAGGACCATCAGATTTTCAAAGTCAATGGTCCGACGGACCTGGGATTGAGGAAAAAGCTGCAATCGGGAATTTAACACACAATGAGCGTGCCGGCACGCCAAAATAAACGTGTGAATTTTATTAAGATTTTACATGTACTGTATTTACTCGTGTATAAGTATTATTCATGTATAAGTCGCACCCCATATTTTGCCTTGAAAAGTTGGTACAAACATTGGTACATTAACAAGATTTCTTAGCCTCGTCTATAAGTCGCACCCCCTGATTTTTATCCCCCCTTATTGCCATGGGGTGTCGTCCGTCCATCCGTCCGTCCTTCCGTCAACATTTGGCTACGGTCAACGATAACTCAAGAACCGTGTGACCCTTTCAAATTGCATGCAGTTGTTACTTGTCGGTCTGTGCCCCCCTTTTTTTATCAAAACTGCGGACTGCGGATCCTACTCGACTCGTCGGACCTCGGGGTGACTCGGACTCGGGGTGGGATCGAGACTCGGTGGTGGCAGGATCGGAGGGTCGACCGACTCGGGTGGGTTGCGGACTCGACTACAACACTGGGCGTTGCGTGTGTGCGTGATGGCAGGTACAGTGTGTGCCATGTTGTGTGGCGTCTGTGTGCAGGTACACGTACGTGGTGCGTGCGGTGTGCACGTAACACGTGCGTGTGAGTACACCGTGCGTGATGCGTGCGTGCGTGCATGAGTGTGCGTGCGTGTGACGTACGGCGTGCTGTGCGTCGCATACGTCCACGGTGCGTGCGTGCGTGCGTTCCGTGTGTTGTGACGTACACGTGCAATGCGTGTGCAGAGTACACGTGCAATCCGTTGTGTAGCACGTGCATGGCGTTGCGGTGCATAGCGTGTGCAGGTACACGTTCAGTAACATGCGTCTGCGTTGCGTGGTGCATGGCGTGTGCAGGTACACGTGTGTGCATGTGTGCTGGTGCGTGTACATGCGTAACATGTGTGTGCTGAGACCCGTATGTGCGTGCGTGCGTGCAGCGTGTGCACGTCACAGTGCGTCAATGCGTGGTGCGTGCGGTGCGTGCTGCGTGCGTGCGTGTGCCGTGCAGTCGCCGTGCGTGTGTGCGCGCGTGTGCACGTAGACGTGCGTGCATGCGTGCACGTAGACGTGCGTGCATGCGTGCGTGCGTGTGCTGTGTATCGAACAATATCACGCATCTGCTTGCTTGCAACTGCGCAGCGAAAACACAGACACGAGTCATACGAAACGGTCAAAGTGACGGATCCACTTTCTTTTTATGCCGAATGACATGGCTTGTTGAAGCAAATTAGAGAGTGCTAGTACCTTCGAAGTGGGTAGAAAGAAGGAGAAAGAAGCTGGTAGGAAGCGGCAAAGGACGAAGTGACAGCAGATTCAAACCAAAGGGACAGAAACTTAATCGAGCCATTGAAAACGTTACAAGATTATGCCGTGTATCTAGAAAACCTAAAAGTTTTAGTTTTAAAAATTCTTGTAAACTGCCGTCAGTCGTTACACATATGTACAGTATGTGACTATGTATGTAGTGGACTCGCAGCCGAGGCCTGACTCCGACGTCCCGATCGCGGAGGGCTCGAGTTTTCGAGTCCGAGTCCCGAGTCATTGACACTCCGAGCGCAAGGACCGAGACCGAGGACCAAGGAAAACGGTCTCGAGGCCTACAACACTGTCTAACAGTCCAAAGTAAAGAAACAAAGCATTTCCGAGGTGGGATTCGAACCAGAATCAGATCGCGGCTTTAGCGAACGTCGATGCTTTATCATTGAGCATACGGGTGCCGTTTGGTCTTATTGCACCATGAGATTCATAGTGTACGTGATGATGTATTATATGTTAATCTGCTAGCGCCATCTATTGAGAATAGAATTTTTTATAAAATTTTTAACTTTTTAACTTTTTTGAATTTTGTTTCAGCCAGCAACACTCCCAGAGTGCTGATTCTGAGAGATTATTTAGTTTTCTCCTCTAGGCTGTGGAGTTCCTTTATATGCGCGGAACATCAACAAAGTTCAGTTTGAAAAACGTTCATAGTAATATATGATATAGATATATATATATAGGCAGTAGATAATAGGAGCGAAGGAGTGTGCATCAATACAAACAACGTGGAAATTCGTCATTTACTAGCCTTATCAAATACACTCGATTTACTACGCATAACTTATCCAACTTGAGCCCTCAAATCGCTACCACAGTGACATTCGCTTACTATCAGTGCGAAAATCGTTCTTCGTTCTACACAAGCAATCCGGGAGAG